TTTTTTTTTTGTATGGAAGAAATGCAAAGCACCGTCAGCAAAAAAAATACTTATTATCAGAAGTCAACGGATTTTTTTAGTTACATACTTCGAACTTGAACTATATTGTAATGAAATTTAATAGGCTACAAATCTGCATACCAACATTCGAATTTAAATGTTTGCAATTTTAATGAAACGTTCTTGATTTTTTTCTAATTTTTGCAATTAACATTTATATGGCTTTTGTAAAATAATTCTTATTTCTAAGTCAAGTTGCAAAAAAAATACCGTTTGTTTTTGAAGATTTTTTTCGCCGACATTAAAAAAAAAAATGAAAAACTTAAAGAAATCGTCATACATACATATATTAGGGTGCCTAATGCTTTTGGCCAAGGCTGTATTTAATAAAATTTTCTGTTGGCAAATGGTTCTATGCATTTGTTGAATGAGATGTTTTTTCAGTGTTTCATTTAGAACAAAAAATTTAACGGCATATAGCGATGTATCGAGTTTTTTTCTCTTAAATATCGAAAGTATGGAGTACGGCGAGTATCGATACTTTTGCAGCTCTAGCTCAAAAGAGGCACAACTCAAAATTACACATTTGTCAGAAAATGCGAAAAACTATTTTTTAGCACATGATAATCATATAGGCAGAGAGATTTTACCTTATATTTTTTTAACAAATTATAATAAAACTCTTATCCAGATTTGGATATGGATATTGTAAGGTAAATAAAAGCTCTGTGTACATTTTTAGCGCACAATTTAAAAAATTCCATATTTTGGGTTGCGTCTCTTTTGAAGACGGTGTGCGATATATGTGACCTGGTCTACGGAAAGGGGGCTTAGGTGTCAAAAAATCAATTTTCACTTTTTGGTTGATTCGGATGGAAGATGAGATGCTTTTTCACGTGGTGAAAAGCAGAAAATCCTAACTTGCTTAGAAGTGTACTAAAAATGTAGAGAAAGTGTTACTTTTTTAAATGTTCCACACTAGCAACTTACACTATGAACTATAATAATATTCCGACCAACAACAACACTTACTGGACCAACAACAACACTTACTGGACGTCCGGCGCGGAGAACAATTAACGAGATAATGAGAAACTGACGAAACGAGTTGCTTACTTTTAACAGCTTTTTCACAGAAAACTAGTTTTCGCACGTAAGCTCCCTTTTCGTAGACCAGGTCACATATGAAATGTTTATGTCGCTGAAGCTCAAAACACAACTACAAAAGTGTAATCTATTTATTAATACGCTAACATAAATTTTGTCTCCGTTCGTTTGGCTATTCTACCAAACCGATTTCAAAACCAATTACGAATTATTATTATTATTAATTATATGTATCAAATCATTGAAATTTATCGATAAACTTAAATGTATCGGGTCAATTTT